GGCGGCGGCGCCACCTTTTCGTCCTGGGGCGACGCCGACACCTTCCATCCGGTAGTGGCGGCACCTTTCCGGCGGCGGCGGCTGCGAGGGATTCGACCTGTTCAGGGGCGACGGTGGAAGCGGCGAGAGGGCGGCGTGGGGGCGCCGTGGAGGGCGACAAGGGGGAGATGAAAGGAGCAGGGAGGAAAAAGACCGCGAGAAGTTGCAAAAAAAGAGCGCGTATCTAAAATAATGGCGGGGAGATGAAATGGGGGTCGTTTTTCCCTCCCCAGAAATGAGGAAGAGAAGCCTCTATTTGAGGATACCCTAAAAATAGGATCAAGTTTGGGGGAACTGTTGGAGACAGTTTTTATAAGAAAATCCCTATTTTTGAGATAAGAAAGAGGAATAGGGAGGCTCTTGAAGATGCTCTTAGGGTACCATCCTATCGGGTGTCTTAACTGTTGGATCATCTATATTATCTAACTACATGAGGATCCAACAGTTAAAACACCCGACGGGATGGTACAGTAACGGGACCGTAGCATTTATATATGTGGTTAGTTCTAAAATTACAAAAATTAGTGCGCGGCTAAGCAACTGGCACTTAGCTTCAATGATCTCTCTAGTACACCTATTTCAACCCCAAAGCCATCCAGCCTCCCTAAACTTCGACCGTAATCTTGTTTGACTCATTATACTTTTAAAGAAAGAATTACACATGTTATTCAATATTTTACTTTTATTTTTGTTAATTTTAGAATATGATATATGATCAATTTGAAAGTATACATTTCAATTGGAAAAATATGATTGTCTTTATGTTAGGTATGTGCATAAGCATAATATTTCAAATGCAAGAACGTTAATATAATTAAACTCAAAAAATAATTACGCTAGAACTAATTAAATTCAACTAAATTTTAACGATCATTTCATAAATTGCAAATCAACACTATATAGTAGAAATCACGAACACTTCTGTGAGGTTGACGTAATATGCATCGTATTTGATATATACTTCATCATCATAAGTTATTTATCTGAATAATAATAAAAAATAATTATTAAAAAAAATTATTGTTGATTCATATTGATGCTAAAAGGGAAAAACAACACTATTAAAATATAACATTTCATAACATAAATATATATTTTGTTAATAAAGTTTGGTGTGACCAACAGGGTTGACTCAAGTAGTAAGCAGTTTGATGTCGCTTAAGCAAGGTCTCGGGTTCGAGTCCTTGTGAATGCAAAAATCCCTTGTTGGGAGACTCACCCACCACTGCTAGGTGTGCGACCCGAGTCGACCAACGGATTAGTTAGAGTATAACTCCGGATACCGTGGCTGGGTGAAAAAAAACTACTTGGGTGTCCCATCCAAAAGAAAATGTGATTATTCAAAAAGGGTGTTTTGAAATGTAATCCAAAAGATTCGTATATGGAGTATTAAATCTCCGCGTATAGGTTAGGCACATTAATTAGCCATAATAAATTGTTATTGCATCACTTCCCTAGTCAAATAGTACAATACAAGACAACATATATATGGTTTTGCCTCCACTTCACTCAGAA